CAGGGAGGTGGTGGAGTCACCAACCCTGGAGGTGTTTAAAAAAAAAGTAGATCTAGCACTTGAGGCTGTCGTGTAGTGGTTGAGTGTGCTGGGATGAAGGTTGGACTAGATGATCTTCAGAGGTCCCTTCCAAACCCTAACATTTGTGATTCTGTGATTCTGTGAAGACAGCATTGCTTCTCTTTGATCCAGCCTGGTACAGCCCAAACCAGGAGTGACGGTTTTCCATGTAGCAAGACTGGTTGTACTAGATGCGGTGGGATTCAGAAGCACAGTCTTGTCCTTGGACTGGAAGAGGCATAATCCTTGATGGCATCTCCCTGGAGACCACAGCCAAAAACATCGCAGGTAATTGGACTCCTACGTGATTTAAATGAGCTTCAGGGAATGAAAGTAGGGGAAGGACATTTGTGGACCTTTGCCAAGAGATAGCTTTGCGGTTTCTGTACCCCTGAACCTCCACCGAGCCTGCAGCGAAGCCCAGCTCCCTGCAGCAGTGTGGCTGCCAAAACACTGCTCATAGTTAGTGACAGCCCTTCTTCCTGAGTAAGGCAGCCAGAGGCACCAGTGCTGGCTCCAGGCTTGGCAAGACGCTGCCCAGAGAAGGAATGTTGTCTTGGGGCAGTCAGCAATGCCTTGCTTCCTTGTCATTGAGGTTGACACATCCACACTGAGGTCTTGAGCAAGGTCCCATCCAGAAGATGACGTGACTAAAAGGAAGCCTATTTGCCCTGTTAGCTGTGAAGACCAGGCCACCTTTATTGCACGCTTACTCCTGGCCAACACATTCTAACACTAGGTCAGGAGTTAAGACATGAAGAGAGAGACGTAAAACTGCAAGACATTCTCTAAACCCACAAAAATTAGGACCAGTTTTACCCCCTGTTTATAGTCAGGATGATGAGCGCATTAATAGGCCTTAATTGCGCGAGTCTGGAGCATCCACCCACACTCTCTGTCCAGGGCCTCCATCTAAGCTCAGGGTTGGAAATTCAGTCTTTATTTAAGCTCTGGTGTGAGCGTGCCTGCTCCCAGTCTTGCTTGGATTTCCTGGATGAACCTTGGTGCTGGCTCATCACCTTGTCTTCACCTGATGTTCTTTGTACTCTTGACACGTCTCTTTGCTCTCATTACCCTTTCCTGCTCTTCTGGTGCTGTGGGCTCATCATGCACATTGTTCTTGTCCTTCTCATCCCAGTAAAGCCTTAGCTTTACCTCGATGTTGCAGTATGGCTTTGCATAAACAAATTATAATACATGCTCCTGAGAAGACTTTAGGAAAGAGCAATCCAGCAGACTCCCCTCCACAAAAGACAGGGAGAAGAAATAAGCCAAGGCAGGATGTATTCAAAAGCAGAGGGAGACGTTGAAGTGGAGGAACGCAGAGCTGCTCTACTACTTGGCCAAAGGCCTGTTGTTGCCAGTAAGTGGGGACAAAGAAGATATAGAGGGTTATATTAAGGGTCAGTAGGAATAAGATTGAAGGGTAAACAAGGAACTACAAAGCCAATTGAAGCTGAAGTGAATACTAAATAGTAGGCTGAGAGCGCAAGCTGAAGGAACAATTCTGCCTCAGAAAGATATATCTTGACTGAAAATATGAAATGTTGGCACTTCTGACAAAGATCTGGGCATGAGGACTAGAAGGCTCCCTTCAGAGATAAGGTGATAATATTTTGTCCCCAGCAGATAAGATTTATTCATCATTGCTTCAATATCTCATGGAATGTGACATCTTGGTTTATGGTCTCCACCTTTCTTGCAGCCTGCTCTGTTCTAAGCCTTTCTTTCCAGTTACCACCTCATCTACTTTATTTTCTTCATGGCATGTGATTCAGTAAGATTCACCTCTTGGCACTTCTTCTGTGCAAATATGACTCAAAATGTGCCTCCTCTTCTATCTAAGAGCCTTCCACACTGCCACAACACAGGGGAAGAGTGGGGGGAAAGTGGGGAAGACCAAATAAATTGAATGACCTCAATATCTGCTCTGATCCAAAGGGATCTTCTGCACACAGCCTTAGTCTGGGCAATGGTCCACCTCAAAGGTAAGAGCTAGCAAGATGACCAAGGACCTAGAGCAAGTCATAGATAAGGAGAAGTCAACAGAGCTAAGTTTCTTTCTTCTAAAGAATAGAAAATAAAGGATGATGAAATAGCAACTTAGGTCAACAGTAAAGATGACAGAGCCAAAAACATCTTGGCAGCAACAGGGTAAATAACAAAACAACCAGACAGGCCCTACGCCTTATATTGTTCCTCGTACCTCCAAGTGTTCATCTTGGACATCTTCTAGAGTCAAGGCCAACCATGTCCAAAAATTCATCCTTAATCTCTGCCCATGAAAGCAACGGGTCCACGGCTTCAAAATCATTGTCTTCAGGTTGAATCTGAATGGATGACTATGAGTTTGACTATGTAGGTCTCAGAAAAATCTCCTTTTTCCCTGAAGTGCACCAGTGACAAACACTTCTCTAAGAGAAGACTTAGTCCTGAAAATAAATGATCCGTGTGCTAATGTGAAGCTTTTCCGGAAACAGACATTACTGTAATCAAATCCCAGGAATGTAGATTCACCAGTGTTATTTATCCAGTATGATGAAGAGCAGACTCCTTGCAAGCCATATCTCTCCAGAGGCCATGTTTTTCTTCTCCTCCCTATTCCAACCTCTTACTTGCACACACTGTGTCCCTGCTCTGGGACAATGTCTCCTGTTGCACTCTTTCATCCTGAAGTTCTCATTCTTCCAAGTTGTTTACAGTGACTTCATGAACACGGCCCAGTCCGGTTCCCAACAGACCCTTCCCCACCACCACTATATGGACCTTGTGTTTCACTGTCCCCAGTTGTCCTGGTCTGAACTGAACAGAACCAATTCTGTTCAGTGATTTTTACCTTCTAGTTCAGTCTCTCCTAAGAGGTGGCACTTTCTGAAGGGAGCAACGTGTTTGTGCAGACAGTGCCTGCTGCTGGAAGTGATATCACCTGATGTTTGCAGTCACTGCCAGGGGTGGGGATGCAGAAAGGCTCTGACTGATACTTGTTCCTATAGTGACCAAGGCCACTGCTGGCTCCTGTGTGCCATGCTGGGCTCACAGGGAAGAAAAAAGTTGTACCTCCAGGGAGTAATAGACAGAACAGGTGACAAAAAGGCTATTTCATTCCATATATGTCATACACAGTATAAAACTGAGGGATCATGAGGGTTCGAGTCTCTCTTTTGCCTCTTTTCTTCAATTGTCAGCGTCCAGGGAGGACTCCATTCGACCTTCTGCCTTTGATCCCAATCCTGAGTTATGAAAGAGGTGTCCCAGGGATGGAAATACAGATTTACCATCTGTCTTGGACTGATCCAGAATGCATTGAAAAAAGACAGAGCTCCAGAACATCTGCAGTACATCGATGACATCATCATATGGGGTAAAACAGTGGAAGAAGTTTTTATGAAAGGTGAGAAAATAATTGAGATTCTTTTGGATGCTGATTTTCCTATAAAGAGCAGCAAGATCAAGGGAACTGCACAAGAAATCCAGTATTTGGGAGTTAAATGGCAAGATGGGCGTCGCCAGATCCCAAGAGACATGATTGACACAATATCAGCTATGTCTTCACCAACTAACAAAAAGGAAATACAGTCCTTCTTAGGCACTGTGGATTTCTGGAGAATGCATATTCCTGGATATAGTCATGGTGTTAACTTCAGAAAGTGCAGCCTCTTAGAAGAGATTGAGCTGGAAAGTAAAAATCACTGAACAGAATTGGTTCTGTTTGGCTCAGACCAGGACACCAGTGCAGGCAGGAATTACTCCACAGGGTTGTTGAGGTGTGAAGGAAGCTCTTCTTCCTCATCTAGTCCAGCCCCCTCACTCAAGAAGGGCCAACTGAAGCAGGTTGTTAAGGACAGTACCAAGCCGAGTTCTGGATATGTCCAAGGATGGAGACTTTACAACCTCTGTGGGCAGCCTCTTCTTGTGTTTAACCACCCTCATGGCAATAAAAAAAACTCATTTTCTTGTTTTGCTCCCCGTTTCTTGACAGTGCTTAAGAGTCAGAGAAGCAGGTAGCCATACAGATCTTGCCTATCTTCTCCAAGAAGTCTTTGTAGGGGACTGCCTGCTCACAAGATAGTCCTGCCAGGAGAACATCAGTTTTAGAAGTGGCAAAACCAGTTTACTTTTTACCAAAACAACAACAACAACAGAGAAGATTCCATGCTTTATTGCAGGGGTTATAGCCCTCAACATGTCAATGAACAGAAGATCACAGGAGGAGGGAAGTAACACAGGGAGATGGAAGGAACAGGAGGGAGGGAGTCAGCATTGGAGGGTGAAGGAGGAGAGGCCAGTTAAGGGGAGGAGCCAGGGTAAGGAATATTCGTCATCTACCTCCCGTCTTGGTCCTTACTGTCTCCTCTCCTGCCTCCCCAGCCAGCCACTGACTCTTTGTCTCTCCTACAAGGACGATCTTCTTACTCTACCCTGACAACCAGGCATTCAGGAGCTGTGTTGTGTAAGATCTTTACCATGGGACCATCACGAAATCTTGTCCCACCTGAGGACATCCACCACGGGACCCTGGCTGCCTTCGCTGGAACCAGGATGGGGACCGTGATCTTCCTTTTGGCATGTCTTTGGGGTAAGTTTTCTCCTTCATTCCTGGAGAATAGGGTTTTAAATATGGGCTCAGAAGCAGGGCTGGTGACAGATTGACCCACGTCGTATCCTCCATTTTGGCAGGGAAATGGGTTTTGTGGCTAGAATAAGGGACTGAAGGTCAAGGAAGCTTGGTTTTTAGCTCCTGGCACTGGAAAAAGGCTTGGTGATTCTGAGACAAGAGAAGACAGCAGTGGAGGTGGTCATTTGGCTTCTGAAGGTCACGTAGAGATTCAGAGGTGTTACCAATGCAAACACACCGAGACAAAACCCAGGAACAAACAAGTGCAAACATGAAGACAGAGCTTCCTTTGATTGATCTGTGTAATCCAGAATGTAGTCCTGGTTTTTCCCTCCACCCTAGAGTCACAACCTGTGCTGGAGTCAGGACCTAAGCATGAATAAGCTGGAGTTGGTCCTTAATTTATATCCTGCAAATCAGCAACTTAACTCAAAAAGAAGTAAAAGAACTGGATAAGGATTATCCTGTGGGTTTTTAACAAAACCTGGGGCAAGCTGAGGCATTCTCAGGGGCTAGGATGAAGTAAAGGCAGTGCCAGATCTGCAAATGATCAAGGAGGATGATCTGGAGATTTAAAGTTTGTTAGAAAAACATCCATGCTTGCCAACAGCATAGAAGAGTGGACCTGGCAAGCCTTAGGTGGAAACTCTTGCTCTAAAGCCTCTGATAGAAGTGTGTAAACAACCAGTATGCAGGCACTTGCTTTTCAGTATTTTTTTTAAAGTGTCTGGTTTTAATACTGAAGATTTTCTTCCAGAAAAGCAAAACGGTATTAATGCAGTACGTTAATTAACGGTTAACGGTTGGACTGGATGATCTGAAAGGTCTTCAACCCAAATGATTCTGCGATTCTATAATATATGTGTGTAAATGTCGTGGGGAGCAGCACCCAGGACCAAAGACGCAGACACAGTTTAAGCATCTGACAGGGGCTTTCTGATTAAGGAGGAATCTTTGGCATCTTCTGCTGGGCTTTGATCCCAACAACAGCCTGGATTCTCCTTATACCCATAAGGAGAAAGAGGCCTTTCCCTTCCTCAAGTCTTACTCCCTTGGGGGTGGATGTTGGTTGGAAATATCTTGTTTTCTGCACTGCTCAGGAGTGCATTTGTTGAATACCAACGACACTGTAACTGTCAGGAGCTGGGAGGTGACTCCTACCCTCCGGAGTGTGGGCAGGTGCCCAGAGCCATTTGAGTTGCTCTAGTTTCTCAGTCCTGGACTCCAACCACTGCTCTGGAGGGTGCAGATCTACAAACAGGCACTAGAAACTTTCATTGACATGAACAAACTGTGCTCCACAGGGCCACCAGGTGAGTGAGCTCTGGATAGCAAAGTTCTGACAAGTCTCTTGGATGAGGATGTGGATATCCTGGTTGGTAGCCAGAGCTGAAAGCTTCCGTCATCCGTCAATAACTTGCACAAGACAGGGAGAGTGGCAGACCTGAGGAGGAATGTTCTTGGCCTTATGCATGGAACAGAGAGCTGCACAATGAGGGTGGGCAGGGATGATCGAAGACCTGTGGTGCTATCGCAGCTCAGGTTGTGTAGAGGCACTTATTGTGGGACCTCCATCCTCCTAAGGACCATAATTTGAGGATTTCCTCTTGTTTTCCTGACTGTGTGCAGGGCACAGCCTAGGGATTCTGTAGTGTGGAGATGTCCCACACCATGTTAGAGGGTGTATTGGAACTGATCCATGGCTGGAAATGATTGGTTCCCACCCAAGGTTTTGAATATCTGGGAGGGACTCATTAGTAGAAATCCCATGATCAGAACTGTTCTAAACAACTGGGATCTTGCAGCTGCTTGTAGACGTGCAGAGGTTTGTTAAAGGTCCTCATACCATCCATGCAACGGATTTACATTACTAATTAGCCAGCAAGGTTTTCTTATAATGATCCTATTGAGAAAAAGAGCAATGAGCACTTCAGCAGTAGTTCCCCAGACAGATCCAAAATGGTTATACCTGCAAGAGCAAGATGTTGCGTTCTCTGTGATGGAATCATGGAATCATAGAAAGGTTTGGCTGAAAGGTACCTTTAAAGGTCCATCTAGTCCAATTCCCCTTCAGTGAGCAGGGACATTTTCAACTAGGTCAGGTTGCTCAGAGCCCCATTAAGCCTGACCTCAAATGTCTCCACGGCTGGTGCCTCCACCATCTCTCTGGGCAACCTGCTCCAGTGTTTCATCACCCTGATTGTAAAAAATTTCTTCCTTATATTTAAATCTACCTGCTTTTAGATTAAATCATTAGCCCTTTTTTTGTAGCAACAAGCCTTGCTAATGGCCTAATCATCAGTAAATGGCCTAATTATCAGCCGGTGACTCACATACATTTTCCACCTTGGCTTGTTTTGGGATTCAGGTGCTTCTGACTCGGTTCCCATCAGGCTTGTGGATGGACCCAGCCGTTGCTCGGGGCGTCTCGAGGTGCTCTGGAAGCAGCAGTGGGGAGCCGTGTGTGATGACAACTGGGATCTGCCTGATGCCATGGTGGTGTGCAGGCAGCTGGAATGTGGGGAAGCTCTGTCAGCACCTGGCTCAGCTCATTTTGGTCAAGGAACTGGTCATATCTGGCTGGACGACATGAACTGCACTGGTACAGAAGATGATCTTTCTGCCTGCAGGACCAGACCCTGGGGAGAACACAATTGTGATCACGGAGAAGATGCGGGCGTTGTGTGCGCAGGTATCTCATTTTGGCACCCGGTCCCCTTGTGACCCCAGGGGGCTGAGCTGTGCAGAGGGAGGGTTTTTTTAAGCCTGTTGGCAGGCTTTACATCTCCATCAGGGCCACTCTTAGGGCTCAGGATGGGGATGACCTCTGCCATGTCAAGGACAACGTTATCCAGCTTGGTTGGGATGGAGAGATGGTGTTTACGCTTGTTCTGGGGAAGAATAGAGGTTTTAGATTTTTTTCCCCAGTTCACGTTATTCTTGCTGCTTAAGCCATCACCGTGAAATTGATGGTGAAGGAGGCTGAAGGATCTCCACCTGGAAAAGCACAAGATTTCCATGCACACATTTTGTGGCTCAAATATGCCTGGGAAGTTGAGTGTTTATGTGGCCTCTTTCCATTTGAGTTTTATGACCACACTTTCTCCTGATGGATATGTTTATTCTCCAGACTGGGGCTGGGGGCAGAGGGTTGCAAATTCAATCATGGGTCACTTGTCTGTGAGCCAGTCCTAACCTGGATGTCATGGCATGATGGTAATGAGTTTCACGAACTGAGTGGGCATGTAGGTGGACCCTACATCATGGTTAATGGGAGAGTAAAGTTTAATCAAGCAGAGCATGGACCCCAGGAAGTGGAAAGTGGGTTGGAAGTTTGACAGGCCACCCATTGCCCTCTTTCAGGTCAGTATTTCCCAAATGCTGCTCGACGCAGCACTGAACAATGAACCAAATTTCCAAATGCGCATCACACCTAGTTGGACCTGGAATGGAATTCAGAGCCATATTAAGACCCAGACATAAATAGGTCTGGGTGTCTTTCTGCTGCAAGTGATGGAAATCTGTGGTGGAATTGAGTTAGTTCCCGACACAGAGTTGCCAAGTGAGGCTAGATAGACCTTGGGGCATCTGCCACAGCCTGGCACATAAGATGTGGGCCCTAAGGGAGACCCAAAGGGGTAATACCCATGGCATCGCAAACGCTGCTGAATGCTTATTTGGGCAGTTGTGGCAAACACCAGTGTTTGGCCAGCTGAGCAAATCCTGTGTCAGAAATTGTGTGGCCAGCAGGAGCACAGAGGTGATCGTGACTCAGCACTGGTGAGACCACACCTTGAAGCTTGTGTTCAGTTTTGGACACCGCAGTATAAGAAAGACATCAAGGTGCTGGAGTAGGTCCAGAGAAAGGCAAAGAAGCTGGGGAAGGGTCTGGAGAACAAGTCTTATGGTGAGCAGCTGAAGGAACTGAGATAGTTCAACCTGGAGAAGAGAATGCTGAGGGGACATCTTCTTATTCTCTACAACAACCTGAAAGGAAATTGTAGCAAAATGTGGGTCAATTTCTTCTCATCTGTAACAAGTAATAGGACAAGAGGAAATGGCCTCAAGTTGCTCCAGGGGAGGTTTAGGTTGGATATTAGGAAAATTTTCTTTACTGAAAGAGTGGTGAAACATTGGAAAAGGCTGCCCAGGGGAGTGGTGGAGTTACCATCCCTGGAGAAATTTAAGAGATTGGTAGATGATGTTTTCAGGCACATGATTTAGTGCCAGGCCTGGCAGTGTTAGGTTAATGGTTGGACTTGATGATCTTAAAGGTCTTTTCCAGTTAAAATGATTCTACGGTTCTATGTCTAACCAGAATTTCAACATCCAGCTCACGTGAAGACACCAGCAGGTCAATAAGACATAGGGTTGTCTCGATCTGTAATGAGTCCTCACCCCTCAGATAGCATCATGGTGGGAATTGCACAGTCCTGTTTCATAAAAGGTCCCCTGTCTGTGATATTTATCTCTCTAATTCTAAGTTCTGAAGCCTGCCTCTGAAGATACAGAACTTGACCCTCATTAGCCTTCACCTCTTCAGGTCCTGGCAGCACTAGCAGAGATCTTTCCTCACCACTGATGGCTTAGTAATCTTCCTATAGGTAATCCTTGATCTTGTTTTTGCTGTTTGTTTTTCTTTTTCCCTCTTTTTTATTTTTTTTTTCCTGCAGAACTTGAAAAAACAGCAAAGGTGCAATTAGTGAATGGTTCAAGTCGCTGTGCTGGTAGAGTGGAGGTGCTTTATGGCCAGCGATGGGGAACGGTCTGTGATGACAACTGGGATATGACTGATGCTGAAGTCGTATGCCGGCAACTGGGCTGCGGGACTGCTCTGTCTGCTCCTCCCTTAGCTTCCTTTGGGTCAGGGCCTGACCCTATTTGGCTCGATGACGTGGCCTGCCAAGGAACTGAAGCCGCCCTCTCCGAATGCAGCGCAAAGCCTTGGGGAAGCCATAATTGTGTGCACGGAGAAGATGCCGGCGTTGTGTGCTCAGGTGAATCCTGCTCTGCATGACATGGTTGGTTTTTATGGGGTATGGGGAGATGCAGGAGGTGCTGTAGGAGGTCCTGTCCCCTTCAGAGCAGCGCTGACCCCAAGTCCCAAGAGAACTATATGAAAAATTGATTCATACTGTTAATCCTAAAAGTTCTTACTTCTTCTCCCTAATTAAAATCCACCACTGCATGATCCTGTGGTAAAAGACAATGGTGGTGCAGGTCCCCATGCACATGGCCAGGGGATGCCTTGATAGAACATCCTTTCTCACTGCAAAAAGCGGTGGCTTTGGCAGCTGCGTCATCCCACTCTGATGCCAGTTGAAATAATTCCTTCTGAAGTGAAGTTCTTCCCATGACTCTCACCATCTCTCTCCATGTTCTTGTGTCAAGCTCTCCCATGGAGCCTTAAGGCTGCAACTTCATGACTCCATCCATGATTCCCAGAGCTGCCAACTCCTTCCCAGCTCATCAGTCATCTGGCCAAACAAGAGGCAGCACATGACACAGCTGGTCTACCACTGGGCCTTTGCTGGTGGGCCAGTTATTATGAATATGCTGATTGCTTGGACAGATCTAGAAGGAGAAGAGTTGGTTTCTGCGTGCTTCTCCTCTAATGAGGTGCTAATTAGTGTCTTTCCTTTGTAGTCACATACAGAGTTTTGCAACATTTCCTGGTCCTTAATATAGAAATCCACTTTTTGTTCACGCACTTGTGGATAAAACCAGCATTAACATGAGGCTGAAGAGACAGTACGAGAGTGATTCTGGCACCTCTAGTTAGCCAGCACCTTCTGATAGGTACTGAGGTACACAGGAGGTCTACAAGGGGCTGGCAGCAAGACACACAGCAGATATGAAACCCCTTGCAATGGCAGACAGAGACCAGAGCATCTTGAAAGCAAGACTGGCGCTTGCCCTCTTCAATCTCCAGCTTATTTAGGCTTGTCAAATCAATTACTGAATGTTATGGATGTCCCACTCCCTAGAAGTATTCAAGGCCAGGTTGGACAGGACTTGAAGCAACCTGGTCTAGTGGGATGTGTCCCTGCCCACCGCCAGAGGGTTGAAAGAGATGATCTTTCAACCCAAATCATTCTGCGATGACTCTATGATATAACATTCTGATGGCAAAGGAAGTGTTTTTGTTGCCACTTTATGCAACGTTTTCTCATGCAAAACTATGAAAGATGCAGCCTTCATTGCCAGGAGAACAGATGCAACAGGCTCCGCACCAGATACTTCCTGATTTATTTGGTTTTCTTTCTTTTTTTTTTCTTTTTTTTTTTTTTTGTTTTTGTCACCTGTAGGCTTTGCAGAACCTGCCCCACTTCGATTAGTGGATGGGCTGAACCACTGCTCTGGCAGAGTCGAGGTGTTTTATGGCCAGCGCTGGGGATCCGTGTGTGATGATGACTGGGACCTGGCCGAGGCAGAGGTCGTCTGCAGGCAGCTGGGCTGTGGAAAGGCCTTGTCAGCTACCCACGGGGCTTACTTTGGGCAAGGATCTGACCCCATTTGGCTTGATGATGTCAACTGCACAGGGACAGAAGCTGCTCTCTCCCAGTGCAGAGCCGCTCCCTGGGGAAACCATAACTGTGAGCATGGAGAAGACGCTGGTGTGGTTTGTACAGGTACCGATCACTCGTGGTGTGACATGAGGGAAGTTGCTATTGAGTGAGAAACTGGGATGATTTAGCCTGCAGAAGAAGATGCTGAGGGGAAACCTTATTGCCTCCTATAACTATCTGAAAGGAGATTGTAGTGAGGTGTGTGTTGGTCTCTTCTCCCAAGTTGCTAGTGATAGGATGAGAGGAAATAGGCTCAAGTTACTCCAGGGGACATTTAAATTAGATATTAGGAAAAATTTCTATACTGAAAGAGTGGCAAGGCACTGGAACCTGCTGCCCAAGGAAGTGGTGGAGTCACCATCCATGGAGATGTTCAAAAAGTATGTAGACGTGGCACTTCAGGACATGGTTTAGTGGTCATGGTAGTATTGGGTTGACAGTTGGACTTGATGATCTTAGAGGTCTTTTCCAACCTTAATGATTCTATGATTCTTTCAGGCAGAGCCTGAGGTCCAGGTCCTTCAGCACAAATAGGTCTTCCAAAGAAAGTGACACAGAATGCGTCAAAAGCACTGTGGAAAAAAATGTGTCTAAACTGAGAGACATTCGTGATCTCTCTTTTCTCATTGAAATTTTTTCTATTAACTGCCTTTGGAGGCCAATTCACTACAGCAGACAGAGGAAACACTCATTTTGGAGTGTTAGCTCAGCTGATCTTCAACCCAATAATTTTGTGCTTCTTGTGCAACAGAGGAGAGCAGGTGGAACAGGAGGGATCTTCTTGGTGATTAAGTCAGCTACTGGGAGATCTGGGTCTCAAATGCTACCAATCTTCTTCCTCTTCCTTCACACAGGTTCACAAAACACATCTATCAGGAATGCTTGCAGGGCTTCCAGTCCAGAGCAGTTCCCACCAGCATAGTCTGAGAAGGAGAGATTCATATCTCAGACCTTAGATACAAGAAATGAAGGTGTTAAATCTAAGAGTATGGGCTGACCTCACATCTGTGATGACAATAAGCATCTCCAGTGAGACTTGTCTGGCCTGTCTCAGTCTCCAGTACCAGATACCTGATGTTCACCAGCACCAGAGCTGTAAAACATCAGCAGCGGATTTTCGCAGCCCTCAATCAACACTTTTTTTTTTTTACCCACATTCTGATCCCAGATGCTGAGAGTCAACCAGACCTCAAAGCAATCTGGAGCTCCTGGACCAGCGTTAGTCCACAGGTCCCTGTTGCTTCCCAGTTCAACTAGACAGCCCTAGCCTGGCTCACCACAATAGGCTGCAGACCTAACTGTCATCTTCTGACAAATCACAGTCATAGACTTGTAGAATGTTTTGGGTTGGAAGGGACCTTTAAAGGTCATCTAGCCCAACCATCCTGCAGCGAGTAAAAACATCTTCAACCTGATCAGGTTACTGATCCATCCTGATGAAAATCTCCCTAAACTGGTGTTTCAGACCCAAAAATCGGCCTAAATTGATGTTTCAGAGTCCAAAAGTGCCCCAAAAGGGGGATTCAGAAGCACAGAAGCTACCCAAGTGGATGTTTCTGAGCCCAAGAGATCCCTAAATGCTTTTTTCACAGTGGGTCTGAGACCCAAATCTACTTGAGTCACTATTTTGTAGACCTCAACCTCCCTAAATCTGTTTCTGAGCCTGAAAACTCCCTAAACTGCTGTTTCTGAGCCCCAAATCTCTCTAAATCAGTGTTTCGGAGCTTAGAACCATAGAATCATTAAATATTGGAGTTTAGAAGGGTCATCTGGTCCAACCTCACTGCAGCATGCAGGGACATCTTTAACCTTGAGATAAAGGGTCAAACAGAGCTGACTGATTTTAGTAGGGGCTGGTCAACAAGAGAGGTCTGCTGGAAACTCTAAAAGGGACCAAAATTACTGCAAGAGTCTGCTCCACCTGCTCAGTCCAGACCAAAATACAACCAAGAACTGAGCTCCTCATTGTTTCCTGATGCAGGGTTTGATGAACTGCTTCCAGTCCGACTGGTGAATGGTTCAAACAACTGCTCTGGGAGAGTCGAGGTGTTTCATGAGCAGCAGTGGGGAACTGTCTGCGACGATGGCTGGGACGAGATGGATGCTCAGGTGGTGTGCAGGCAGCTGGGCTGTGGGACAGCAGCCTCAGCCCCCGGCTCTGCTCAGTTTGGACAAGGAATGGGTCAGATTTGGCTGGATGATGTGAACTGCGCCGGGGACGAAACCATCCTCTCCGAGTGCCCAGCCAGGCCTTGGGGAGATCACAACTGCGACCACGGAGAGGACGCCGGTGTGGTCTGCTCAGGTACTACTAATGCACATCACGAAATGTGGGGTGAGAGGGACAACTTGTTTTTGTAAGAAGGATGCCAGTGGCCCTGGACTTCTCGTGGGGATAAGGGTGCTCCTGACATTGGTCAGTCCTGATGGCTGGGCTTGCAGAGGCTCATTAGTGGGGACTCAGCATTCTCACATGTTTTCACTAGTGCTCCTTGCCACCTCCCCATTTCAGTGTTCTTCTTTTAGGAAAGTGCTCTGCTTCTAGCCCGTGTCCTGGGCTGCATCAGAAGTAGCATGGCCACCAGGTAAAAGGAGGTGATTCAGCCACTCTGCTCTGGTGAGACCTCACCTGGAGCACTGCATACAGCTCTTGAGGCCCCAACACAAGAAAGACATGGATCTCTTGGAAGAGGGTCCTAAGAAGAGGGATACAAAAATGATCAAAGGGCTGGAACTTCTCTCCTACAAGGACAGGCTGAAGGAGTTGGGTCTGTTCAGCCTGAAGAAGGCCACAGGGAGACTTTACAACATCCTTGCAGTGCCTCAAGAGGGCTACAGGAAGGCTGGGGAGGGACTGCATACAAGGGTTTTTAGCAACAGGATGAGGGGCAATGCTTTTAAACGAGAGGATTCTAGATTTAGATTAGACATTAGGAAGACATTCTTTACTATGAGAGTAGTGAGACACTGGAACTGGGTGCCCAGAGAAGTTGTGGATGCCTCATCCCTGGAAGTGTTCAGGACCAGGCTGGATGAGACTTTAAGCAATCTAGTTTAGTGAGAGGTGTCTCTGCCCATGGCAGGGGGACTGGAACTAGATGGTCTTTAAGGTCCCTTCAAAGTCAAGCCATTCTATGATTCTACGCAGTTACCAGGGTTCTTATCTATGATCAGTCTGTGGGTTACTGATTTATTGCAACAGCTCTAGTCAAGGATGTTGGATCAAGCTGTGAGGCCATGGATATCTAGTGCCACATTACGCGTCATGGACCCAAGACCTGTTGACTCCTAGAGCCTTGAAAGAATCGATTTTTTCCCTCTCCACAGAATTCTGAGATGTGCAAAGCTCCTCAAGCACTTTACAATTGTGTTTTGGTCTAGGTCTCGTGGAACCAGCTCCCATCCGCCTCGTGAATGGTCCGAACCGTTGCTCTGGGAGGGTCGAGGTGTTTCATGAGCAGCGGTGGGGAACCGTGTGTGATGATGGCTGGGGTGAGGCTGAAGCCCACGTCGTGTGCAGGCAGCTGGGCTGTGGGGAAGCACTGTCAGCCCTGGGCTCAGCTCATTTTGGGCCAGGGCCTGATCCCATCTGGCTGGATGATGTGAGCTGCTCCGGGAGCGAAGCTGCCCTCTCTGAGTGCAGGGCCCAGCCTTGGGGGTCCCATAACTGCAAGCACAGGGAAGATGCTGGTGTGGTGTGCTCAGGTAACCCCTTCTTTGTGTCCATCTGTGTGGTGGGGAGGGTTTTCCATTTCGCCAGCCGCAGGGTCCATTCAGTGTCCTGAATCTGGGTTGTGAGCTCTCTTTCATCATAGTGGAGATCTTTTTTCTTTTTCTCTATTATCGGCCCATGTGCAGTTGTTCCCATAAACAGAAGCTATGTGCTTTCCTTGCCTTGGATTTCTAACTTATACACTGCAGAACAGGGTTTACAGTCTACTGTCCAGTTAGGTCTGAATACAAGAACTGGAGGTGATATCTCAACATTCAGCAACTAGATGAATGCATCCTCCCTATCATTAGTCTCACATTCATCTAATTTTATTTTTAATCAGGCAAATGGCAATTTAACACGTATCTATCCCTGCCCTTGATTTTGTTTGTTTGTTTGTTTTTCCTTCAGATGTACCAAGAATAGCTCCACTCAGGTTAACAAATGGACCAAATCGTTGCAGTGGGAGAGTTGAAATGTTTTATGGCCAGGAGTGGGGAACAGTTTGTGACAGTGGCTGGGATATAAATGATGCTGAAGTCGTTTGCCATCAGCTGGGCTGCGGGAGAGCACTGTCCACTCCGCCCTCTGCCTATTTTGGAGAAGGATCTGGGCCCATCTGGCTGCATGATGTGAACTGCACGGGGACAGAAACTGCCCTCTCCCAATGCGAAACTGCTCGCTGGGGAGTCCACAACTGCAGCCATGGAGAAGATGCTGGCGTCGTGTGCTTGGGTAGGTCTCATCTGCGTCACCACCTGCTCGACTTTTTGTGGTAGGTGGAGGGATGTCAGAAATGCCGTTGGGTACCCTCTTAGGACTCTAAAACCATCGTGCTGTTCCGAGAAAGTGCTTCAAACAGGGCTGGTGGGTTAATTCATCTGGATAGCCTCCTCCTCAAATCTAACTGTGACCCTGTGTGGCTGTAGTCCAGCTTGATGCTGGCTGCACAGAGGAATTTAAATCTGGGACTCTTTCTCATGGGAGTTACTAGTAAACCGGATGGCATTGCAGTGATTTGCTCTGTTACAGAGGGTGTAGAGTCACTTGGTTGCTTCCACCGCTGCCAGTGACAACCCTGATGAACACATCCCACTTGAAAAGTCTCGACACGTTCCCTGTTCTTCTCTCTCTTTCATTTTCCAGACAAGAACATTTAAAAAAACCTTGCAGAAACACACATCTACCTTTTCTCCCCCCTCACTTGGTAGAACAAGCTTCACAGGACCTTTTTTTCACTAATTTTTTTCCCAGTGTCTTTTCTGAAACCTCTGTAGTTGGGACAAATTTCTTCACGGTGTTGCAGCTCTGCACTTCGTGACCACTAGAAGGGAACGCTGAGCTCACTGTCATCACCTGGAATTTATTCTGTGGCCTCTTGTCTCTCTGGTCTTTACATCAACCTCTTGTTAAGACTGTTAACGTCCCTTTTCCATTCCCTCAACTTCCTCCTGTTTCCTTCTTGAGACATATTTTTAAGCTCCTTCTCATTCCTCTCATTCTCCTCTCATTTACGCTTAATTGTTGATTTTATTTCTTTTAGCCTGTTATGCCAGCAGAGTTTTTGCCAGTGCTGAGCAGCTCCAGAGTCTTGGTTTGCATAACCTGTAGCCAGCACTCCCATTTGTCCATGTCCATGTCTTCCTCAGAGCAGCCTGAAATAGCAGAGCATCATCCTCCATCCTTTACAAACCCTAAATCCCTTTCAGAAGACTTAGGAATTCTTTCTTCTTCATCCTCTATACAATTGTTTGACCTCCCAGCAGTGGAGAACTTTTGCCTTGCCCTTCCAGGAGATAAAGTGTTTTCCTCTTGTTACTTGCCCACATCTTGAAAGCACTCCAGATTAAGTGACTAAACACAATTGCCCGACTCAGAATTAAACACCCTGTGATCCCTTTGCAGCCAAAGAGGACTCAGTTGGTGCAGTCAACAGAAGGATTTGACCCATCTTGATGCAGATGCTTGAAGCAGATAAAAGAAATTGCAACCTACCAGTGCTCATTGCCTGCCACTGAGCAGGAAGGGTACTGGTGGTCCTCAGCAGAACTTTAAAAGTGAGGTTCAACTGCCTAAACATAGGTGTCCAGTGTCATCTGAGATGTCACACTGTGTCCCACACAGCCTCTAATTGCAGAACCAGAAGGGTAACACTCTCCCTTGAACGCTGCATCAAGTGGGACTTGATGATGGTTGGCCTCGATGGTCTTAAAAGTCTTTTCCAACCCCAACGATTCAATGATTCTAAGCCTACCAACCCCTTTGGGATGTCTGAGATTCCCGTGGCAGCTCAGATGGCAACAGGTACCAACACTCAGGAGAAACCCATCAGCCTCTGCAAGTTTATGTATAAGGGCTCCAAGTCTCCCTGAGCTGAAACATGCCCTAGTCTTCTTGAAGCGTTCTCTAAAGAGGTCTGTTGTGTTACTGTTCTTTCCCTTAGCCAGTGGGTTTTCCTGCGTTTGCTGACTGGGCACAGGTGTTTTCCTAGTGGAAGACAGAGAGAGCAAGAAATCTTTGAAGACTTCAGGTTTTTAGTTTGAAATCCCTCACTAATCCATCCCCTTTCATATGTTTGGACAGCACCTTTCCTTGACTTTAGGGGCAAGAGTAGGGAAAACAACCACATTGAACTTTCTTTCTCTGCCATGATTTTCCCCATAGGTCCTACAGGCCCACACCAAGGTAGCTCTCAGGAACCTTTTTGCTGGAATAACTCAGTCTTACCTTTTTGGTGCAGGTGTTCCAGAACCAGCCCCGATCCGACTGGTGGGTGGTTCAAATTTCTGCTCTGGAAGAGTCGAGGTGTTTCATGAGCAGCGATGGGGAACCGTCTGCGACGATGACTGGGATGAGAGGGATGCTCAGGTGGTGTGCAGGCAGCTGGGCTGTGGGACAGCAGCTTCAGCCCCCGGCTCTGCTCAGTTCGGACGAGGAACGGGTCAGATTTGGCTGGATGATGTGAACTGCGCAGGGACTGAAAGTGCCCTCTCTGAATGCCGGGCACAAGCTTGGGGAGCCCACAACTGCAACCACAGAGAGGATGCTAGTGTGGTCTGCTCAGGTACTGTACTCAGCACTGGTGAGTCTGTACCTCAAACCCTGTGTTCAGTTTTGGGCCCTTCATGACAAGAAGGGCATTGAGGTGCTGGAGTGGGTCCAGAGAAGGGCAACGAAGCTGGGGAAGGGTCTGAAGAACAAGTCTGATGAGGAGTGGCTGAGGGAACTGGGGTTGTTCAGCCTGGAGAAAGGAGGCTGAAGGAAGACCTTCTCACTCTCTACAACTCCCTGAAAGAAGGTTGGAGCAAGGTGGGGTCAGACTCTTCTCCCATGTAAAAAGTGATAGGACAAGAGGAAATAGCCTCAAGTTGCACCAGGGGAGGTTTATTTCGGACATTAAGAAAAACTTCTACACTGAAGGATTATCAAAGGCTGGAAGAGGCGGGTCAGGGAGGGTGGCTAGTGAAAGAGGCTGCCCAGGGAGGTGATTGAATCACCATCCTTGTATATATTTAAAAGTCATCTAGATATGGTGCTCAGGGACATGGTTTAGAAGTGAGCCAGGTAGAGTTAGATAATAGTTGGACTTGATGATCTAAAAGGTCTTTTCCCCAAAAACAATTCTACGAGACTATGTTACATCATGCAACGTGGGGTGCCACAGGGACTAGGCTTCAGCAAGATCTGCCTGTTGCACTGGGGGACATCTTTTATCATGATGTTGCTTTTCAATGAGATACAGGAGAGAAACCAGCCCTGTTTTGGATTTTTTAGGGGGCTCGAGGCACATCTGCATAGTTCTGGGGCATCTGAGGGAGAGTGCTCATGTTGAATAAATTAGCTCCCAGAGCGGTCACATGCATTCAGGTGGCTAAAATCCCACCCACAGCACAGGCCAAGCAGAGAAAATGCACGACGAGGTTGTGGGGTGTCATTAGTGGGTGACATGCAAGGGATTGTGTTGAATAAAAATCTGCTCCACATCACAGTGTGACAGCATGCTGATGGAGAGACCTGTGCCAAGGGAGAACAAGGGGGACATGCTGCCCTGACTGTCCAATGGGAATGCTGTGTAGCCAGTGGTGGCCCTGGGGGCATCTGCAGCTTAGCCTGGGGCCCTGAGCTGGAAGTTCAACACCATGAAGCTCTCCCCAGTAGTGACCTGCTGCAGGTGTCACCTCACCCAGGTACCAAAACTCACTGGTGCTCTGGTGACCAACACCCATGTCCAAAATTTTTTTTTGGCACAAGATCCCCACAAGAAGGAGTTTTGGCCCACTCCACAGCATTCTGAGATGTGCATAGCTCCTCAAGCACTTTGCAATTGTGTTTTGGTCCAGGTCTCGTGGAACCAGCTCCCGTCCGCCTCGTGAATGGTCCGAACCGTTGCTCCGGGAGAGTCGAGGTGTTTCATGAGCAGCGGTGGGGAACCGTGTGTGATGACGACTGGGGTGAGGCTGAAGCCCATGTCGTGTGCAGGCAGCTGGGCTGTGGGACAGCGCTGTCAGCCCCGGGTTCAGCTCATTTTGGGCCAGGGTCTGACCCCATCTGGCTGGATGACGTGAGCTGCTCCGGGAGCGAAGCTGCCCTCTCTGAGTGCAGGGCCAAGCCTTGGGGGTCCCATAACTGCAAGCACAGGGAAGATGCTGGTGTGGTGTGCTCAGGTAACCCTTTCCTGTGTCTCAGTCTTGATGGTGTTGGGGAAAATGTGCTGGGGAAAGGTTTTCACCCTCTGTGGAAGGTCATCTCTGAGCTTATGATGTTACTAGCATGTGTTATTAGTCACTGTGGTGTAGAAACACATTGTTGTGTAATTTATGCAACACTTGTGGCCCTGGCCATGGTCAGCAAGTCATCACTGATCCAGAATTATGGAGTTACCACCAGTAAGCCTGATAGCTGCATAACGGTTTGCATCCCATACCTCAGCCAAAAGGCTTCAGGACTTCTCCAGGGCTGGACAGGTCTCTTCAATACCTCATTCCTGTTCAGGTACAGGCCTGTGGAGTCATATAGACAGAGGGATCTCTGAATCTTCACTTTTACATGAAGATCAGTGTTGTCAGCAAGTCCTGAGCTCTGGCTGATTGAGAAGTCTGTGTCCTGCTATCATGAGAAGAAATAAAATGTCCCATTTCAGGATTCACTGAGAATTTCAGAAGCATGAAACCACTGAATGTGTCCTTACAGCACTTCTGTCTATGTGCTTTTCCAATTTTTTCTCCGGTGTCTCTTGCAGTCTGCACCTTCTGAAGAAACCTCTCACCATTTTAAAGCAATTAGGAGGTTGTAGGATAATTCAAGTTGAAGTCTCTACATTAGACTCCTACTAAAAGCGAGGTCCAATATGAGGTCAGACAAGCAGCCCTTAATCCAGGCTTCAAAACTTAGTCTGATGGTCTTTCAGGGCAAGCCTAAAAAACCACAATATTATCATTAAAAACAGCATCCTGTTTTCTTACTTTTTAGCCATTCCTCTCCACGTTTCTGGGATGTCAGAGTGAGAAGCTAGCAAAGCTTTCCTGCAGTTCCTCTTTCCTTCCAGGAACAGCTTTGAGAAACTTTCGGAGAACTCAATGCTCTTTCAAGAGGAGTCATCTCCGTGCCTGCAGCTGAGCTGGCTGATGTGCTGGGTTCTCAGCTACAAACAGAACAGACCCTTGTTAAAAACTCAGTTTGAACCCTCTCTTTTGACTAATTTTACTTGGGACATTTCTTCAGTGCAGGAAAGCATGGGCTGATGTTTTTAAGACCATTTATTGTCTAATTCGGCTGGCTTTATGAGCCAGGGGAGTTTTCAAGGAAGATTAAGTGACTATTCTTACCATAATCTTCTTTCTCCTAGCAAATTATCCAGTAACTGGGGTAAAAGCCTGGAGAAATGGAGGCTGAGGGGACACCTTCTCGCTCTCCACAACTACCTGAAAGGAGGTTGTAGCGAGGTGGGGGTTGATCTCTTCTCATATGTGATAGGACAAGAGGAAATGGCCTCAAGTTGTGCCAGGGAAGATTTAGATCGGGTGTTAGGAAAAGTTTCTTCACTCAGAGGGTTGTCAAGCACTGGAACAGGCTGCCCAGGGCAGTGGTGGAGTCCCCATCCCTGAAGGGATTTAAAAGCCACGTATATGTGGTGCTCAGGGACATGATTTAGTGGTGGGTGTTGCAGTGCTGGGTTGATGTTTGGACTCAATGCTCTTAAAGGTCTCTTCCAACCTAAACAATTCTGTGATTCTAAAATGTGTAAGGCCAAAAGAAAGTTTCAGGAATACAGGCACCGGACAGTCTGTTCAGTGATTGTCCTTGGGAAGCTTCACATATGTGACTCAGTTTATTTGAGCAGGCACCCCATTCCTGGGTGTAGGTACTTAAAGCTATATAAGACACCTAACAGCATGCAGGCTTCTATGTGGGGTTGGCTGATACGACCCTGGAGCTAAGACCCTCACCCTTCCAACAAGGCAGCTGGAGGATGCCAAGGAAGCCCCGACACATCGTGAATAGAAGAAGAATAATTGGATGCTCCTGAATTGTTCTCTTTGTAGATAATGTTGGATTTTATCGTGTGTTGGATTTGTGTGCATTGATCCTTTCCGGTTGCTTTTTGCACAGGTACTCCTGAAGTTCCTCCTCTCCGACTGGTGAATGGCCCCAATCGTTGTGCCGGTAGAGTGGAGGTGCTTCACAGCCAGGAGTGGGGGACAATCTGCAGTGACAGCTGGGACTTGAATGACGCCGCAGTGGTGTGCCAGCAGCTGGGCTGTGGGAGGGCTGTGTCCGCCCCAGGTTCGGCTTATTTCGGGCAAGGTTTTGGCCGTATCTGGCTGGATGATGTGAAATGCTCTGGTAGAGAATCAGCCCTCTCTGAATGTGCAGCAAGGCCTTGGGGAGTCCATGACTGTAATCATGAAGAAGATGCAGGCATCGTATGCTCAGGTAAGCTTCATCCATGTCCTGTCCTACTTGGTATTATCCAACTCCCTGAAACTGTTCAAGGCCAGGTTGGACGAGACTTTGAGCAACCTGGTGTAGTGTGAGGTGTCCTTACCCAGAGCAGGGGGTTTGGAAGCTGATGGTCGTAAAGTCCCTTCCAACTCAAGTTATTCTATGACTCTATAATGGTAAGGGTGTTGGGGCTGGTGGCTGTCTGTCCTTTCCCACTCTAACCTTCTTCCCTTAGAGAAGCACTGGGTGACATTGGAGATGTGGAGTTGGAGCTTGGTGTTCTGAGAGATGATTTCCATCCCTCTATGTGACATTCCTCCTATTTGCACCAAATATTATATCCATATTAGTAACCTTCAGTGGCTTGTCAGGCCAAAGCAAGCTGGTTTTAAAGGTCTGGATTGCATACATTTCCTTCTAGGTGGGATCTAAACCTCACGGATGTTCCAGAGTGGAGAAGAGAGATGATATTGCCAGCCAACATGAGTATGACATTCATTTAACCCAAACAAAAGTGATTTCCAGCATCCAAAGATCGCACAGTAACGAAGCAAAGGAAGACTCAGACCTATCACACAAGCAAGCACCCAACTGATGTGCCCAAATCAGGGACAGCTGTGCCCTGGGAACAGTTAAGGAAGAGAGAGAGGCACTTACACGGGGCAAGACAACCCAGTTACCCTCTGAATCACCTCAGGTGCCTCTCACTCCCTGAATGGCTGCAGAAGAGCTTTGGGTGATGTTGTGTCTAATTTGGGTACCTCGGTGGATGCTCTGCACATGGTCCCACTTGCCACAGGCAGATTTCCAGGCACTTTCTCTCAGGGGGAGAGGCAAAATTTGGAGAACACTGTGGGCACTTGAAGTCCACTTGAATCCTACCTACATCTCACATGAGCATGCCTTCCCTGCCCAGTAGGTCCTACAGTTCCCATGTCAGTTCATCTTCTCCTGCTGATATTCCCTCTAATCCATCAAAGTTTTCTTGTGCTGATCGTAAAGATAAAATATACAAACATTTGGGTCTTGCTTGGGCTTGGACAGCCTCAGGTAGCCAGTACCCTTTCCCCAGAAACATTTTGGGAAGTGAAGACATCTCCTTGCTTGCCTTCTCATAAGTAAGACACACTGAACCTCGTGGCTGAGATATTCTCTCCAAGCTTTAAACCATTTCTGTGCCTCTTCTCACCCTCTGTTTTAAAGAAAAAAAAAAGTACACATGCACCTGAACTTCCTTTTCCTGGTGTCCTTGTGATGCTCTGTGTGGTGCTCACCACAATCTTCGCCTCGTCTCTGCCCTCCCTGGAGCCACACTGAGAAGCCCCCCAAAAGCATGAGCTGCTTTGGAATGAGGGGAGCTGGTCTAGGGGAAGGTGTTGGAGAGGTGGCCAACTAACTTGGACACACCCAATGTCAACACTGAGCTAAAGACCTTTACTCTTTGCTTTATTAATACCAAGTCTTGATTGGACGTGCCTGAAATGAGAAATTAACCACTTGTAAAGAGGCAGCTTTGGTCTTGGCAAAAGCGAAGGAGGAAAAGGTGTTAATGGCTCCCCATGGGGGTTGTTCCTCGTTGGAGAGGTGGCCAACTAACTTGGACACACCCAATGTCAACACTGAGCTAAAGACCTTTACTCTTTGCTTTATTAATACCAAGTCTTGATTGGACGTGCCTGAAATGAGAAATTAACCACTTGTAAAGAGGCAGCTTTGGTCTTGGCAAAAGCGAAGGAGGAAAAGGTGTTAATGGCTCCCCATGGGGGTTGTTCCTCCTCTAAGCAGAGAGAGATAAACCTTCAGAGATAAGCTGGTGTTGTGCAGTGTTCCCACCCCAAGGCTCTCATGGCTGCCCTTGCTACTGGTCTGAATGTCGGTGGACGCAGATGTTTCTCTGCAGAGGTGCAAAAGGCTGTGCTGCCATACCAGAGGTGTAAATATTCATCATATTCATTCATCACGCAAACATTCGTCAGGGGCTTGGGGGTTGTTGCTGGATGAGAAATTAAACACAAGCCGGAAACGTGTGGTCGCAGCCCAGAAGGCCAGCTGTGTCCTTGGCTGCATCAAAAGCAGAGTGGCCAGCAGGTCAAGGGAGGTGATTCTGCCTCTATGCTCTGGTGAGACCCCCACCTGGAGCTGTGTGTCCAGCTCTGGAGCTCTCAACACAAGAAGGACATGGACCTGTTGGAGTGGGTCCAGAGAAAGCCACAAAGATGATCAGGGGGCTGGAGCACCTCTCTTGCAAAGACAGGCTCAGAGAGTTGGGGTAGTTCAGTCTGGAGAAGACAAGGCTCTGGTGAGACTGGAAGGGTCCTCAAGTACCTGAGGGGGGCTACAGAAAAGCTGGGGATGGACTGCTTCCAAGGGTGTGTAGTAACAGGACAAGGGTCAATGGTTTTGAACTAGAGCAGGGTAGATTTAGATTAGACATTAGGAAGAAGTTCTTTACTATGAGGGCGGTGAGACCCTGGAACAGGTTGCTCAGAGAATCTATGAAAGCCCCGTCCCTGGAAGTGTTCGAGACCAGGCTGAGGCTTGGAGCAACCTGGTCTGGTGGGAGGTGTCTCATGGCAGGTGGTTGGAATTCGATAATCTTCAAGGTCCTTTCCAACCTGAACCATTCCGTGATTCTCTGACTATGTTGGACCAACATCTCCCTGCCAGGTTACGCGCTCAGGCAGCAGAGGTCCAAAAGCAATTTATGAGACAGTCAGATGTTCAGTTTTAGGGGAACTTTATTGATACTTTGTGATGTTTGCTTTTCACTGGGAATATGTTAAACTGGGTTTTCCATCAGTGCAGTTATAACCAAGTCTGTAGATCCTTCAAAATATGAGAGAGAATGGTTTTGCCAAACACTAGATCCTGTTATGGCACACTGATGGTTCTGCAACATCCCTGCTCTTCACCTTCTCAGCTGAATCTTGCTGGCCCATTGTGGTCCAGCGGGGCCATCCTGGCACTCACTGTGCTTCTGGTTCCTCCAGGTTTTCGTTAACTGCAGAGAACGAGAATAAGGTAAAGCAGAACCTGCTCCCAGGAACTGCCAGAACTGCCTACTAGAAGACACTCCTCCTGAAGAAGCTGGGCTAGTTGGGTTATATCAGTCTATTTGGGGTTGTCGGGAACGCAACACATGAGCTTTGGGCAGGGCCTGATGGGAGCTGGGACAGGACTGCACGAAGTGCAGGCTCTGACCCTGATGCACAGTCCTTGATCCAGAGGACTAAAGGCCTCACAGCATGACCCTGTACAACACCCAGGTGAAGTCCAAACCCCTACAGCCCTTCTCCCCCATAACAACACCAACCTAAGACCCCCTGGGATTCCTCCTTTCACCTATGTGGGGCCTGTCCAAGCTTCCCTCCTGAGAAACAGGGCATGAGAAGTCAGGAGCTCAGTTCACAAGAGCTTCTGAGAGTCCACCTCAGACATTTACTGAGTATTGGTGATGCACCGATAAAGAGACACCGTTGTCCCCACAGATGCTTGTCATTACCTCCTGCTCCAGAAACTGCCCTACCTTCTCTTTCCTTGCCCTTTAGGAGCCTTTGCCCTACACAAACCCACTTTTACAGCATGTCCTTGGCAGGATCCGAGGTGTGTCAGCGGTGTGTTTTTTCTCCTCTCTGCTGATGCCCCTCGCCCTCCAGCTGGTCCCACCACATCCATCCTAAAAAAATGCTTATCTTCCTCATGGCTCCCTGCTATATCCATTTCCCTTCCTCCATCAGCATTGTCCTGAGTCTTAGGGGGAACCTTCCTGCTCTGTCCCTCCCTTTCCATCCCCTTCTGTTCAGCCTGTGGCCACATCACTTCAAACGTCGTGGTGATGGGTACTTACCTGCACAAACAACATCGGCGTCCTCTCCATGATAGCAGTTGTGTTCACCCCATGGTCTGGCCTCACAGTCAAAGATGCTTTCTTCTGTCCCGTTGCATTTGACATCGTCCAACCAGATGACATCCGACCCCCGCCCATAGCGGGCACCTCCCAGAGCCAACAGTGGTGACCCGCAGCCCACTTGTTTGCAAACCACCTCAGCATCCTTCATGTCCCAGTCGTCGTCACACACGCTGCCCCACCGGTGCTCGTGGAGCACCTCAACTCTCCCAGCGCATTTGTTCGGGCCATCCACAAGACGGACTGGCCCCTCTTCAGGAATGTCCACCTCTGCACCAATGCCCAGAAAACAAAGGTTAAAGGAGTGTCCTACACATTCTGTTAGCTGTGGAAAGCTGCCTGCTCAGCAGAGGTTCCCTGAGCACTCTGGAGATACGGTAAGGGCTGCACTTCTCTGGGGTGGGAAGGAAGACAGAAAAGCCAGGGAGCCAGGCTGTGGGAAAAGGGCAGGAGGAAGGTTTCCTGGTCTTTCTGTGTGGCTGCAGGCTCTACTGTGCGTCTGCTTCAAGGAGCTCATTGCCCTGCAGCCCAGATGTGGGACAAGGGACCAGACCAGTCTCAGGCAGGACAGGACTTGGTGCTGCCTCCAGATCAGCTACACTCATGTGTCCCCTCTTGGCTATTGGGCAGTTTCTACACCTGATGATGGGATGAGTTAATCAGCTGCATCCCTCTCTTGTACCCATCAGACATCCACAAAGCTGCATGGGGCTTAGGACCAGCCCTGATTCAGGCAGGGGACGTGTGTGGTGGGATCTGCCTATCCTGCTGCCCAGCACCTGCAGGATGGGTGAAGGAACTGGGGGTTACCTGAGCACTCCACGCTGGCATCTTCCACGTGGTTGCAGATGTTGTCTCCCCATGGCCTCGTCTCACATTCGGTGAGGGACCCTTCTGTCCCTGTGCAGTTCACATCGCTCAGCCAGATCCGGCCTTTCCCTTCCCCATATTTTGACTCTCGAGGGGCTGACAGAGCCGTCCCACAGCCCAGCTGCCGGCACACAACCTTCTCCTCCCGTAAATCCCAGTGGTCATCACAGACGGTCCCCCAGGTATCCTTGTGAAGCACCTCGCCTCTCCCAGAGCAGCGGTTGGGGCCACCCACCAGGCGGACTGAAGCGGAGCTGGTGATCTCCGAGTCTAGAGACGCATCCAGAGAGAATGTTCAGGCTGCTCACAGGTGTGGGTCCCTCCCTCTCCCCCCAGTACCCCTGCCCTGCACCCAGCAGCCTAACCTCCGTAGCTTTCTCCACACATCATGTCCAAACAAGAAGCACCATGGCAGGCTTAATCTCAAGCCTGAGCTGAAGAAAAGACACCAGAGAGCACCCCAGTGAGCAAGAAAAGAAAGAAGCTCCTAGTCTGAATCCCTCTTCCATGGTGTAAGGACCCCAGGACTTTTAGGTTAGCATCAACTCAGGAGAAGAATGCTCCATGGGAAGTCCTTGTTCTCATCCAAGGGTGTGCCCACACCAACTGTGAGGACACCCTGAAGCATGACTGGGAAAAGTAGGAGAAAGGGAGGATTACCTGAACAAACTGCACTGGCGTCTTCCCCGTGGAAACAATTGTGATCCCCCCATGGCCTCGCCGGGCAGTCGGAGAGGGCAGCTTCCAACCCTGTGCAGTTCACGTCATCGAGCCAGATGGTGTCAAACCCAGGTCCAAACTTGGCTCCAATGGGGGCCAGCACAGCATCTCCGCAGCCCAGTTGCCTGCAGACAACTTGGGCATCATTGATATCCCAGTCGTCATGGCACACACTGCCCCACTGCTCTTCATGAAGCACCTCAACCCTGCCAGCGCATCGGTTTGGGCCTCCCACCAACCGGATTGGCCCCAGATCAGGTATTTCTGTTCCTGCCAAAAACAAACAAGGAAGAAGTTTTGGAACAAGTCTCTGTGCCCCTAATCACCTGGAGAAAGCAGAATCTCCCACGATGAAGCATTGGACTAGAAGACCTTTAAAGGTCTTTTCCAACCCAGCGCACTCTATGATGCTGTGATTCCATGATGCACCAAAACTGTCTCTGCTCATCCCAAACACCTGCCAAAAGCTTCCTTCCTAACTTCTGGCTTGAGAAGAAAAGTTGAAGGGAAAATAACATCAGGATGGAGGCTGTCAGGGCAGGGATGGGACTATCTGTGTCCTCTCCCAGCTTTGTGGGTTGTTCCAGGTCCAGGAGTTGGGATGTAACTTCTCTGGATCAAGTGGGACGGGAAGCTGGAGCTGAACAAAGACATTCTGCATCCCTGACCTCCTAACTGGATGAGTAGGAAATGGCATCCTGGCTTCTCTGAGGCAGAAGTGCCAATGCATGACAAAGCAGAAAGCACCTGGGGGTTACCTGCGCACTCCACGCTGGCATCTTCCACGTGGTTGCAGATGTTGTCTCCCCATGGCCTTGCCTGGCATTCAGTGAGGGACCCTTCTGTTCCCTTGCAGTTCACGTCGCTCAGCCAAATCGTGCCCTTCCCTTCCCCGTATCTTGACTCCCGAGGGGCTGACACTGCCGTCCCACAGCCCAGTTGCCG